TCTACTTTCATATACATAAAACATAACCACTATACTACTATACATAACCACTATAAACACTATTTATCTAGGAAAATCTGTATTTTGAAGAGCATATGAAGACTGTTTAACACAATTGTGAGAATGGTCTTAGTACAGTTAATACATACATGTCTCAAATACCTTAGTACATACTCCTTCTTAACCAGGAGTATGAGATCTGCCAGGTTTTTTTAGAAGGTAAATTACTTAAAACACAAATTAAGCACAAGCACATGATGAAATTTGTTTCCTTAAACCTAGGTATTTTACAGTAATGTCATAAATGTGTAATTTCTCACGTATTCTTAATTTTGTTGCAGAACAAAAATAAATCTATTATTCTGTCTTTCATTCTATAGTTTTAATATACTGTAGCTTAGTTTATTGTCTCCAGTCTCAGGCACTTTCTTTGCCATCTTGATCATTCTAAAGCTTTTTATTTACAAGATGAGGGGATGCGATCAGTGTTAGTCGTAGAGGTCTGACTGAGCTCATGAGCTGTAAAGCAGTAACTGTGGATTTCAGGCCATTCGTGTGATTTTTCATGTGGCTGCAGTGCGGTGTCTCTGTGACAGTGTGACCTGTGGTGTCTGTCTCCCCCAGATGCTGGGCTGTCAATGAGAACATGGCCTTCTGGTGGATAATCCGTTTCCCCATTCTTCTCGCTTCTTTGGTGAGTCCACAGCGGTTTTTCTGGATTTAAAAGACACTCAGAGCTTTTACTTCCTTAGTTTTATGTTACTGTGGAGGCACCCAGCCATGCTGAAGCAGATACCCCTGGCTTCTTATAAACAAATGGCTGAATGAGACTCAGATCTATTTGCTGCTAAACTTCCAAACTTCCAAATTGCTGCCTCTGCTTGACAGCCATTCTTACGTGCTTAAGGGAATCTGTGGGGTGGGAGAAGCCTTGTGTTATGTTCAAAGTGGACTGTTCTGAAAGGTTAAAATGCAGAAAAGCATGCTCCCAAAGCAAGAATTAGAACAGAGACATGCTGCCCTCTGTCTGCAGATCAACCTGGTGATCTTCATGAGGATTCTGAAGGTGATTCTCTCCAAACTTCGAGCCAATCAGAAAGGCTATCCTGACTACAAACTCAGGTAAAAGGCTCGCAGACCACAGCTGCCATCCTGGAGATGCTGACTAACAGTAGTCTGTACTAGATTGAAAGGTTGAAGGTTCTGCTGTTGTAGCCTCGAACAAAGCACTTTGCCCATGTTGCTTTAGTAAAATGCCTGACTGTAGTAATGGCTGTCATGCCTCTGTGCGAGCGGTTTTGATAAAAGTCTCCGTCGAATAATAAAAGCGCACAAAGCATCCTGAAGAACTGGGTTTTGCGCGTCCGCTGTCAGGAATAAAATGCATAAGTAAAGTTGGACAGTTTGACATTGTCACAAATGGGAGGGTTATGAAAATGGTGAATTTCAGGCATTGACCGAGCAGTTTAGTCAATAAGTAAAATACCCATAACTCCCAACTTGTGCAATTTCTCCAGAATATATACCCAAGCAGTTGGTGTAGTTAGAGGCACGTGAATTCTTTA